TATAATTGCTTATTATTGAAATTTATTAAAAATGAGTCCAATATAACATTTATATAAGATTATATGTGGACAAATAAATAATTAAATATGTAAACTTCTACCATAAATGTACTTTGGAGAAAAAGAGCACATAAAATTCACATAGAGTTGCAAAAATATGTGCTTGAATCAAATTCACGAACAAGGATTTCCGTCCTCAAATATTCCCTTCTGTTCCAAATCACTTACAACTATTGGACTATATGAGAATCTCAATATTTGAAAATCCCAAGATATATCCAATGATTTTGAATGATTTAGGACACAGGATCAAGAATATTTGAGAACAGGAGATTCTTAGGCCAAATTCACATACCAGAGAGAGAGAGAGAGAGAGAGAGAGAGAGAGGAGCAAGTGGGGAAGAGGTCGAATGTTGGAGAAAGAGAAGAATAGTGAGGAAGTTGTCTGGAAAAATGATCACAAGCTCCCTCTTGTGTTAGTGTTGGCCTTTATTCTGTTCCGGTTTGGAACATGTGGGCTCTCCCTCTCTCTCCATTCTTACTTCAGACAAATCAATTCATCAACTCCACAGACACGACATATTACACCTATTACCATACATATACATATATATGGAATACACATGTATGTGTGGTTGTCTACAATACCAAAACTTGTAACCTATCCACATCTCAATAATATTATTAAGCTCTTTTTGGTTGTTGCCTTCCATTATTGCCAGAAATTATTATATGAGTCAGGAAGATTATGTGGTCACGTATTCATTCAATTGTATTATTTTATTAAAATATATATTTAAAAGATTCAAATTTTAAAATTTGATCATTATAAGAAAATAATTTTTTAATTTAAATTTAAATTTTATTTATTTATTTTCAATCTAAACTACTTGCTTATTTTCATTAAGTAAAATTGATGAAAAAATAGATATTGTAGACATTTTGTGTACCTGCATTGAGTTTAATGACTAAAATATTATTTTTTTTCATAGGTTTTATTTAACGAAAATAGGCAAATGGTTTAGATTGAAAATAAAGTAAAATTTAAGATTTAAATTGATAAAATTAAAAATTCATGATTTATTTTATTATAAGGAACAAATTGTAGGATTTTTGTTTTGTAATTGTCCTATCTTATTTATGTATCATTTCCTTGTTTATAGGGCCATATAAATTTTTAAGCCTTTGTTATTGGTTGGGTACACCATCAATATGCAATTCTCAAAACACATAATAATTACTCATCACCAGCACAATTCACTCTTACATAATTGAATTTGTGACAAATCAAAAAATGGGACATAACATGTCATTTTATTATGGATACATTTATAAAATTTAAATTATGAGTTTCAGTCTATTTTTCATTTTTCATTAAGAAAAAAATGTATAAAAAAAATCTCGATTAGTGAAGTTACTGATTCTGTAATCAGTCATTTCTGCAACTGAGAGATTTTCGATTGTAATAACAACGAAAAATTACAAATCAATAGTAATTTCATAATATTTATAAATTTATATAAAAAAACTATAATTTTAATTATTAAAATTGACAAAAAAAATCGTTAATTTAAAATTATTTTTGAAAATATGATTTGCAATTTTCCTTAATAACAACAATGGAGCCCGTTAAGATCAAAAGTTACATGTGACATGTGCACATTACTAGGGATGAACATGGTCCGGATTGGGAGAAAATCAGGACTAATCTATTGTCTACGGTTCCTGAAAAATTAGAACCAATCCAATCCGTTTAAAGAGTGGAACCAATCTGAACCAATCCGAATCAATCCGTTTAAACACGTATTGAATCGATTTAGGATCACGGATTCACATAATTAAATAATTAAAAATATATATAACATTTAAAGCAAACAACGTCCTTTGTGTGTGTCTATTTGTGTGTTACTGTTAAGTAATAACTTAACCACCATTCTGATGCTGGGAATTGATAAGATTATGCATAATTCCTTGGTGATGTATTTGTTTTCTATCAAATTATCTAATATTGATGATAAATCAGTTTGCTGCCGAATGAGCTAGATGGCTCATCAATGGATGGTTTTAGTGTGATGAATGCTTTTGTCAATATAAAATACATATATACATAGTATATGGTTAACTTATTGCAATATATTTATATTTATTTTTCTCAGGTTACTTCAGGAATGAGTCCAGCTTTCAATCTTTATGGATGCACTTTAATTGGTAACATGCAGACTAAGGGATGGTTTGGGATAATCTAAATAAATGTACTTTTTGATTTTTTATGAAATATGGGTTGGGTTTGAAGTGATGTGGTAGAGAGGTGATGTGACTTAAATAAAATGATGTGATTTAAATAGAATAATGACTTTTTGACTTTTTTAGGATACCCCAAACAAGGCCTAAGTTTTCTACCTTTTGTCTTAATTCCTTAACACAATGAATAACACTATACCAGAAATCAAAGAAAAAACATATACTGTATATGATATAAATATAGATTATTTCTAGACGGTCTGGATCGGTTTTAATCCGGAACCATGGGGTTCAATTCAGAACCGATCCGTGACCTACGGATTTTGAAATTTCCAATCCGGAACCGAACCACGGATTCAAAAAATCAATCCAAATCTATCGGATTGGACTGGACCGGATCGGATTACGGATTTTACAAATTCTTAGCTCAGCCCTACACATTACATGCACATTTTTCTTCTATTTTGATAACAGAACGAGATATAAAGGTTATATTGAAAATTTTTAAAAGATGAATGAGGTACATTGTATTTTTTTTTTAATTTGAGAAGATAAAATAAAAAACTGTGATAGTTGAGAGAATAAAATGTAATTTTCCCTATAAATTATATTATTTCTCTCTTCTCTGTCATTTCTTTTTCTTTATTTTTTTATTTATTTATTTTTTTCCCCTTAGTGTCTACATCTTAGTGTAATTTCATCCTCATTTTTGCATTATTAATAATGCTATGCATGGAAAAATTCTCACACTATGGGGTAATGAAAACTAAACTGTTTGTACAACATTGGTATTGACATCAAAACCAAATTGCTTGAATATTAACTGTTTGGTTATAAAATAAAAAATACTAATTATTTTCATATGATTATCTTTTTCTGGACATAAACACTTTATATACTATTTATTTGGTCAAGCTAATTTTAAAATTATCAAGTCCACAGATGAACTAGGAAACATATTTATATTGGAGATCATTTTTACAGAGTTGTTTGGCAATAGGCTAATTTAACCAAAAAATCATTAAAAATGTCAAAAAGTCAAATATTTCTTCTCATTCTCTTTACTTTCTGCCCCCCTCCCCTTTTTTTTTAGAATGCCAAATTATCAAATACTAGAGATTTTCCTGATCGTTAACTTTAGAGTCCAATGATTAGTCGACGTGCACGCAAGATGACCCAACACCCAATTATCAACAAAATATATTTATATATATATATATTGTTTTCCCCTCATATTTTAACAAAAAAAAAAACTAAAATAAAAAAGCGCTCAAACCATCATTTGAATTAATAAAAACAAATCTTAATGAACAAAACCCATCAAATTTTAAACAAGTTTCAACCCAACCAAAAAATTAAGCCCAATGGATCCAACCATAAACATTGAAAATTTCCCTCGAATCAGTTTTGGGCCCAAGCTAGGCTTGGCCCAACTTCTAAATCATTCTAATACAAAATTGGCCCGTCTCAAGACTGCATCCACTGTTGGATCAAGGCTGCCAGTAAAGCCCTTAGCCCATTACCTTGATTGATATTGCTATTTCGCATTAGCTTACCCTAGTCGTACTCAATTAAGATACAACTTAATGCCCTCAAATTTGACAACTGTAGCAAAAGGGTCCATTGCCCAATTTATATTTGGCAAAAAATTTAAATTAAATTAAATTTATTATTATTATTTGGATCTTATAAAAAGCAGCAGCCTAAGGTAGGAGTCATAATTTCACAGCTCACTTTTAAAAACTGTAATGAGAATAAACCACTTCTTAACAACTCACTAACACTATATAATATTACTTTGTATTTTAGATTGTATTTGAATTTTGGATTTGAGAGAGATTTGTGACGGAAAAGAAAAAAGAAATGTGACAAATTTAACTTATAGTTTAAAATAATTCCAATTACACGAAATTGAATCACATAATCAAATAAAATTTTCTTACATGAGGTGAGACTCATTAAATTCATGTATCCTTTGATTTGTGCACTTAAATATATATATACATATATTATTGATATATTCCTTCTCTTTTATTTATTTTTTCTTTACAAAAATCCTTTTGAAATTGAAATCTAATATCACGAGTTCTCAAAATGAGCCCAATTCGATTTCCGAGTAGTGAAACGAGGCAACATGGCCATAATCTACCATTTTTAGTACCCAAATGTTGTTATTGTCACACACTAAAATATTGGTGTTACACATTTTCACATTTTTTTTGACACTCTCCTCCATCTCTCTTTCTTAATTGTTGTGTCAATAAGTTCATATTTACAATTTTGGATTTAGACTAATTTTCAACAAATATATCCAATTTCTTGCAAAATCATAAGCACAAAACTTTGCCACTAATAAAAGTCAAACTTAATATTTTATGTATATATATATATATAAAATTTATCCCATGATTTGTTCAACACTAAAATCAATCAACAAACGTAGTAGCTAATATTCTTTTTCTCACATTCCAACATCAAAGTTGGTATTATTCCAACATTTCTGGCATGCTATAGTGACACATTCTCTACTTTGGAATTTATAGGATATGGAGTCATGATCAAGATGCATAATTCCTACCTATCTCTTCAAGGTTCTTCTTTTTAGTCGGTTCATAGGACCGGAGTTATAAATAAATAAATAAAAATTCTTTTGTACATGCACATTCAAACCCCACACTTTTCCATCCATTTACATGTTATATTTCTATCAATTTGGGACCATAAAAACATCAACATAATATATTCACAACGAACTAATATTGAGTATAACGATGATATCACTAAGTAATAAAAGATCGTAAATGTGATTAAGTATATATCTATCATTTGTCTTCAACTAATTCAATCAGGTAGTTCTCGCAATCTCAGCTTGAGATCTCACATTAATTAGTAATATTATTATATAATCTTACCACTATACCTAATATTTAGGGTACTAAATCATTCATTGGCCTGAGACCTCATCCAAGAGCTTATACCTTCTCACCTTATTCCTAAACACTTGTTTAGTGATGATTCCACCATTATTTGATATCTCCTCTGACTTTGTCCTCCTCAGCCTCTCCTCCACACTACCACCACCACCACCTGTGGTGGTCCTTTTCCGGGCTGCCGCCACTGACGGTGATCCCTCCGGTAACCTTTGTTTCTTGATGGGGCTGCTGACTTGCAACTGCAAATTATTTTTATGACCCTTTTTTAGGCCTCCATGATGGTCATTCTTTTTCCTCTTCTTGATCACACGAGTGTCTTCGCTGTTCAAATGGTTTTGTGTTTTCTCGGCTGTGTCTTCTTTTTGATCACTCAGGCACCAATTGCATACCCTATAAGATTCGGCTTTTGGGTACAGGTTGCTACAGTACCTGAAGAATTAGATTGTTGAAAAGACTATATATATATATAGATAGATAGATTTATAGATGAAACTTGAAACCCAGATGATAAAAACCAAGAAAAAAAAATTGATGATCATGATTTGGATTAATCCATTGAACCCAATAAGAAATGGTTATTAAGGTACCTGTGTTGAGATCTGGATTGGCAAACTTTGCACTTGAAGAGCTCATAAGACAGACCATAATCTCCACACATGCAACACTCAATACTAGGCTGTTGTGGTGGTGCAATACCTGCCTTGCTGCTTGTCATCTTGTACCACCATCACCATGTAGAGAAAGAGAGAGAGAGAGATGTGTATATGGTTTGGCCGTCCGCCACGAAACAAAAAAAATAGAACAATCTTGGATGGTGTTTTAAGAAAAATTTTACTATATACTAAAAAAAAAAAAAAACCAATTAAAATGAGGGTAAGATTTGAATTTACAATGGGTCCGTTTGGGAAGAGCTTTTATAGGTTTTTTTGGTTGTTTTAGCTACAAAAGATAAAATAGGTTATTTTAACTACAAAAAACAAAACATCACATGCAATCCATAATCATTACACTCTTCTGTCACAAAAAAAGTCAAAAGTCAAAAAGCTCTTCCCAAATCAAACTTTTTAGCCTAGGCTAAAATTGTCAAAAAAACTAAAAAATCAAAAAGCCAACACACTTCCCAAACGGAGGCAATATAGATTTTAAATGATGAAAATATTTTAAATTTTAAACATTTCTCTAAGTAGATATTTTAAGGCATAGATTAACATAGGTATCATTTTCGGTGTGGCGTGTATGATAAGTACCTAATATAATATATTAATACATAAAAAAAAAATTATTGAGAAATAGTTGCCAAAAGGGAATTCCATGAGTGTGGTGGGGCGCCGACAACAACATTCTTTACTAGGTAAATTATTAGAAAATTTTGTGTTGTCTGAGAAAGGAAGAAGATGAAGAAAAAGTCATATAGTACAAAGAAAATAAATAAATGATAAAAAGATGTTAATGGAATTTGTAGGCAAAAATTTGAGAATCAATAATGTTAAGTGCACAAAATAAAAACACAAAATATGTACATAAATGAATCGTGTCATTAAAATTTATTTTGATTGTGACGTGGAATATTATATTTAAAATAAATTAAATTAGATATTATATTGTATATATATTCTGTGTTTTAATTCTGTACACGGAACCGAACGCTGTTATTTTACAGTAGTATATGAAAGAAAGAAAGGGGTTGAGAGGAATTTGTACACGTACTTCACGCAGAGATCCCGGGGAAAAGAGAAGTGAGGAACACAAGGTGCGGCTCTAATCTAGTTGTCCTAATCTAATCATAAATCTTATTATTTGTAAAAACTCTTAATTAAATAGTCATATATATATATTAAAATTGTGAAATTAGCTAGATTCCATCTTTATCTAGATTAAGGATGTACATGAATCTACACAGAGGTCGAGCACCAAAAAATATCTAACGTAAGTGTATTGTGTGTTCAATTAATGATATTTTTTAATTTTTTTAAAATTATTTCTAATTTTTTGTCATGTAATAATTAGTTGACGGAGCATTGATTATCTCCTAATCCCAACTATTTTAAAAGAAACATTCAAATTATTAGTTGTAGGAAGAAGCTTTTAGAGGAGTATATATGCGAGTTATATTTTTCTAATACTGACTTTGGGCAAGCCGTGCAAGCAACAGTTTTCGACCTAATTTGAAAAATGATTAAATTTTATTTTATTTTATAATAAAATGTCAGTTATTATACTTCCTCATTAAAAAAAAAATATGTATATATATTGAAATTGATGAAATTATACCTTTCATCAGCTATGTTATAAAAAAAAATATTTAAATGTATTTAATTAATAAATTAAATTAAGCAAGCTTGATTAGTAATTTGTATCAAAAAATAAAAGAATGGTAGAATGGTGATTTTTATTTATTTTTTTGTCCCCTTGATGGGTAGAATGATGATATCTAAGGAATACTTTATTATAATTTCTTCACTGTTTATTTGATAATCCAACTTGGATTCTTTTGGTCATTAATCTCATTGTAAACTTCACTACACATTAAGTAAACTTTTAATAACTATATATAAAAGTAATCTTTTTTGTGAGCACCGCTATACATTATAAAATTAGAAAAAATTATACATACTTTTTCTTTTGTACAAAATGGAGCAAGCTTGAATTAGTGAATGTTGGGTTGGGTTGGGTTGGGTTGGTTTTTTTTGGCTAAATTAGTTACAAAAAGATAAAATAGACTAAAAAGTCAATAAGACAAAATGTCATATCTAAATTATAATCATTTCATTTTTTCTCTCATAAATAAATAAAAATAAAAATAAAAAAGCTAAGAAAGCCAACTCAAATAAATTTTTTAGCTACATTAAAAAAAAAAAAAAACAAATTTTGTAGTCGAGACTAAAATAACTAAAAAAATTAAAAATCCAACCCAACCCAACTTGCCTAAGCTGGAAGTTTTTCTCTTGAAGCTTTGCCTTTTATCCTGTACTGTCACTGATTGTGAGTGCATGCATTTTGTCATCTACCCAGCGACCTCACAAGAAGTAAATATTTATTAGTAATGTTACAATGATTTTTTTAATATCCCATACCATTTGGTTTTATCATATCATTTATCAAAATTGTACTGGTTAAACAGATCTATACCATTCTGTTATCAATTCAAATAATAATATATTATAATAAACTAAATATGAGCAACATATCCCTCACCAACACTTCCCAACCGACGGTCCAATTAAAGACTTGTTTGTCAAAGCCCATATGATTGTAAGTACGATAAAATTGAGTAATGAAATTATTAGTGTAATAATATTAAGTTAAAAATATAAAATAAATTACGTAAAATATTGTTCCAATGACGTAAATATCATTTTTTTTATTTTACTAATAAAATAAAATAAAATAAAATAAAATGTTATTTGTGAACCTTTATGAGAGAGAGACAGGGAGGAGGTCCTACCAAATTTAGTTGTTTTAACTAGCTACTGACTTTCTTTAAAAAAAACTAGCTACAAATTTTAAAATTTATGCCAAATTTAACTGTAGGGATGGGTAACCTAACCTAATCAATTCTTAGAATTTGAGGAAGAAGAAGAAGAATAAAAAGGAGTACAACCTAAACCAACAGCTGAAAGAGATATATATTAAAGATAAATTGTATTTCTCTCCCTCCAATAATAAATAAATTATAAATAACCCCACATTTTTTATACAATTACACCAGGCTCTTTTAAAATAGAAATTTCATAACAGTGAGTCAAATTTTAAAAAATGATCTCATTATTTTTTGGACTGACATTTATTTAATTGTTCATTCATTATCACTCTATTCAAATATAATTTACATCTAAATACTCAAAAAAAAAAACTCATATTTATGTTTGAGAGGATGATGGTAATTAGATAAATTCAGTAGACAAGAGAAAAAGATAATTGTGTAATTTGATATTACACAATTTAAATACAAAATATATAAAGCTAATAGGGAGAATTACATGTTAGTGGGTTGCCGATTTTTTTTTTTGTATAAAAAGGTGAAAAAGTTTATAATTAATAATTATCAGATTGACTTAAATTTTTTCATGAATGATATATGTTGAGATCTCTATAAAATGAATAATTTTTTTTAACTACAAAATGAACGGTTCTTTTTTTTCTTATATATATATAACATGAACGGTTCAAATCTTTAAAATGGAACTCGTAGTTGGCTCTACAGGTCACTCAAGTTCTCTCATATTGAAATCTCTATATAAAAGAAGCCCAACCCAACAATTAAAATCATAAATTTTTTCACCCTTTTATTAAAACAATTATAATGAGTGATGTTAGAGACTCCAAGATAATATAATAATGAGTGATCCTAGAAACCTAAAAAATTTATTAAAATTTTTACCAAATGTCTCACATGTATGTGGGACCCACACAATATGGGTCTCATGTGGCTCTCACACCTATGTGAAACAATTGGTAAAACTTTTCGTAAAATTTTTGAAATCTCTAATATTTTTGTATAATAATTTCATCATCTCCATTAACACCATTAACACTCCATTTGTTTTGACATAAAATATTTTTATCCAAAATATTTCTCATTTTCAATTGTTTGGTTAAACAAGTACGGGAAATATTTTTTAAAGAACATATTTTTACATCATTTTTTTCAAAAATGACTTGCTTTTAAAAGTCTTGCAAAGTCAATTTTTACAAGGTTTTGTTTCCAGTTTATTTAAAACACTTTTCAAAAAAAAATTATTTTCTTATTTTGAGTTTTTTTTTTTTTTTTTACTGATTTTTTTAATATTTTAAGTATTTTTTTAATTTTTAAATGCACCTAACATAAATACATTTAAAAAATATAATTTTTATGAAAATTTTTTTAAAAAAATTCACTAAACACTAAAAATACACAAAAAAATATATATAAAAATTCAATATATTTTTTATATTTTTTATGTATTTATTAATTTTCTAAAATATTTTTTCACAAATATTTTACTTTTTAAATACATCTAAGTAAAGTATATCTAAAAAAGTAAAAAAAATACTTAAAATTTTAAAAATATTCACTAAAAATTTTTAAAAAAAAACTCAAAAAACAAAAACTTAATTTTCAACAAACTAAATTTAGAAAACTGAAACGAAATATACTGAAATTTTTTTAAATATATATCTTAACTCACTAAAAAACCATAAATAAAATATTTCAAGTGTCAATCAAACATCAACAAAAAATTTATATAAAATATTTTATGTCAAAACAAACAAAATCTAAATTGCTGTTATTAGTTAAAAAAATTGGATAAATTCAATGTTTGTTTTGAACGGCTCTTCAAATTCAAAAGTTTGGAAACCTCCGTCTCCGTCTCCGTCTCCGTCTCCGTCTCTGGTGGGGACACATGTAGTAGATTGCTATACACAACTTACAACCCACGCATTCTAACAGATTAATAAATGATTTTATATAGTTGACATTTTTTTATTTTTTTATTTTTTTTTTAAATTACAGCATCTTTTTATTTTTTTTATATGTTTTTTCATAAAAAATCCAAAAAATACACACTTAACCCACACATCATTTTTATTTTTGTATTTAAAATATAATAAATAAATAAAAGCTAACCCACATCATCTAAAATTATGAAAATTTGTTCCATTTTTCTAATAACACTTTTCAAAAAATACTACTTTCTTATTTTTCGTATTTTTTTATTTTTACTAAATTTTTTTAATATTTTAAGCAATTTGTTTTTAGGACAAATTACAGACACCCCCTCGAGATTTGGTGAACATACAGATTCCCCCCTGAGATTTGAGAAATTACATCCCACCCCCTGAGGTTTATATTTTCATAACAAATTGCCCCTTGAGATTTTTATTTTCATACAGATTCCCCCTTAATTTCTCCTAATTTGTCATGAAAATTTGACCCTCAGGGGTAATTTGTAATTTCTTAAACCTCAAGGGAGAATCTGTATTTTTACCAAACCTCGAGAGGGATGTTTGTAATTTGCTCTTTTTTTTTAACTTTTTAAATATACCTAACATAAATATACATAAAAAGTAAAAAAATTGTGAAAAAAACCTTTTAAAAATTTACTAAATACCAAAAATAAAAAAAAAGAGAGAATTTAATACATTTTTTTGTATTTTTATGTATTTATTAATTTTTTAAAATATTTTTTCATAAATTTTTTACTTTTTAGATACATCTAAGTAAAGTGCATCTAAAAAAGTAAAAAAATGTTTAAAATTTTAAAAATATTCACTAAAAACAAAAAAAAAAATACAAAAATCAAAAAACTTAATTTTCAAAAAACTTAATTTAAAAAACTCAAAACAAACCAAACACACTGATTGTTTGTTCATGGAGCAATATGTTGGATATTTAAAAAGAGAAGTAACTCAATTGCAATGCCTCCGTTTGGAAAGTAAGTTGACTTTTTGACTTTTTTAGCCTGAGTTAAAAAGCTTAGTTTGGGAAAGACTTTTTGATTTTTTGACTTTTTTTGTGAAAGAATAGTATAATGATTATGGATTAGATATGATATTTTATTTTTTGTGACTAAAATAACTTATTTTATCTTTTATGACTAAAATAACCAAAAAAATCTAGAATAGCTCTTTCCAAACGGACCCTAAGAGTCCCGAGAGATCAAAAATCTCTCAACCTTAGCCAAACCCACACCAACTGTTACTAGTCAAAACCTAATGGACTGTGATAGGCAAAGCAAGTTCCTAACAAGCTTTGCCCTGTTTCAGGGTGATTCTATTTACACCCAAAAAATCATTCATACCCAATTTCTTAGTATTTCTTATCAAATTATTTAGAATTATAATTTACTCACAATACACTCTATTTTTTTTTTTCCACAAATTATCATTCCACATAAAATCATAATTTATGATATACCCAAATAATCAACAAATCAATTCAAAAAAATTCCCCCATCTCTTCCTAGCTATGGGTCTCTCTCTCTCTCTCTCTCTCTCTCTCTCTCTCTCTCTATATATATATATATGTGTGTGTGTGTGTGTTTGTATATGTATATATAGTATATATCATATATGGATTTCATTTGGGCCTCTTGAATTTTGTTGAGTAATGTTTTTTTTTCATCAAAGACTTGTGCTCTCTCCACAGTTGGGTACTTTATTTTTTCTCTAGTGGGTTTTCTTGATTTTTTCCCTCATGATGATTCTAATGCTTTCTATGACTTCATCGTTTCTAGATTTTTGTTTTGTGAAGTGAGTTTTCTATTGAGAGATCAACATGTTTCACTCTTTTTTAAAAATCTCATCATAAAGATTAGAGGATGACTGACAGGTTCGTTCTAGAGTTCTTTTTTTGGATGATAATATTGAGTTTTGGTGGATAAATTGGTGTTTTGGTAAGAGAAAGAAGATGAAATGAAAATAATTAAAATTTGAATAAGAAGATGAAAAGACTTGAATATAGGATGTACCATAAAAGGGAAAAAAAAAATTATTTTAGGGTTTAATGTGTCTTGTCCTTATTATTAAATTTACATGAGAGTATAATAGGAATTGAAATTTCAAAATTTTAATTGGGCGTAATGAGTTACTATTTGGGTGCAAATAGAATCACCCTGTCTCATGTGTAGCACAAATCTAATGTGAACCCTTTTATAGCAGACCCCAAAACAAAAAAAAAAAACAAAAACAAAAAAATTTGGGGTTTAGCTTACGAACCCCAAATTCAAGCACGAAATGGACATTTAGCACCACAAAGACAATAGAGGAGAATGGGGAAATAACACTAGCTAACCTACCAAAACGCATAATAATAATGACTAAATAAATACTATAAAATAAAAGAAAAAAAGAAGAGAAAAGGATACAATGGTTTATCATACTATACTTCATTCAACTTCAATTTATTTAAACAAAGAAACAATAAAAAGAACAATATAGAAAAAGAAAAAGAAGAAACAAAAACCTTCCAATTTATTTCTCAGACCCAAAGCAGCTTTACATGGTCAATCAACACCCACCACCAACTTTAACGGGTTGCCTGGATCATCTCCCAACTTTTTACAACACAACCACTGAAGTTTGGAATGAGCAACTGCCATAATGCAAAGAGGGATCAAACAGGTGATTTATAATGTCCTTGATGCAAAATTTATAAGCTCCTCCTGAAGAGACTGGCTATATTCAAGGTCATGAAGATTGCAACATATACTTTAAATGCGTGCAAGTTTTTTGTTTTTGTTTTTCTCTTTTTTTTTTTCCAGCACATGTTAAACATCATGCATATCCCTACACCCAAGGAGGGGAGGAGGAGGAGGAGGAGGGGGAGGGGCAGGGAATGTCATGGCTCAAGCCCATAACTTGGTGAGCAGGGGTTAGAATGCCCAACCACTAGGCTTACCCCTATCACTCAAATGTGTGCACTAAGGCCCCGTTTGTTTTGGGGTTAAATAGATGGGAGGGAATTAGGATGGAGGTGGGATTATTTAGTGTTGTGCTTGTTTGTAGAGTTGGGGAGGAGATTAGGATGGAGGAGGTGATATAGATGAAGGTTGGAAGGGGGATTGAGATGAAGGAGGTGGAGATGGTATTGAAAAAATAGTGAGAGGATTAGAAAAATATATATATATATTTTATTTTTTATATATTGAGAATTTTTTTAAAATATTAATATTTAATTTTTTATATTTTTTTATTTGTTTTATTATTTTATATAAAAATAATTTAACAATTCCTACACTAACAACTATCATCAAAACAAACACAATTTTACTTTATCCCCTCACTATCAATCTCCTCCCTATTAATCCCCTCACTATCAATCTCCTCCATTCTACTTTTGAAAACAAACGGGGCCAAGTTGAGTTACTGATAGATGGACCAAACTCTACACTCCAAACCCTAAATCATTCAAGTTATAGGCCAGTTCATGTCATGTGAAACGGCCTGGGGTTGTAACAATAACAGAAACACCCAAAAAGCAAAGAAGAAAAAGAACACCCCCTTAGAACTTTTAATTAATTTCTCCAAATTGCAGCACAACACCAACCACACATTCTAAAGACACAGCCCCCTAACCTTGAAGGGGAACAGACAGAGTGTTGGGGGAGGATACAGAGAACCAACATTTTCTATTGCCCAATCTTTCAAAACAAGCCTCAAAACAACTGAGCAACTGAGCAAGATCTTTACAGAACTTTTGGAAAAGAACTACAAAAATCCAAGATTAATATCAATTTGTCCGTAACAATAGACCCCTTTCAGCCATAAGACCAAAAATCATAATTGCTTCTAACTGTTGTCATGGACCAGTTGGCTCAAGTTCTTAGGTAGCTTCTAATTTACTAGAATGAAGGTGTAAAGAATAGAAAGGTCATATTCCTTAGTATCTATATGAAATGGCCATCCTTCGCAATGGTTAATGACGATTCTATTTGCAATGAATTTTCCATCATTTTGTAGTGAACCAAACATAAGAATGAACATCCTACTAGATTGGTTAATCCATTCTACCTTCATTCCAATGAACCAAACACTACCTTAATTGGTTCTCCTATGTAACAACTGCTCAGGTAATTGTATTATATTAGTCACTCCCAGAATTATATATTAGTTAATATAACTTACAAATGCTCACCCAAACATCCCATTCTCACAGAGGTAATAAATGTTCACATAAATAATCATTTGAAATTGGGTTGGTCGTGGAAATTGAGATATGAACCTAGCATGGAACTCTTCATCACAAATTCAAGACACATTTTGAGTCCCACTAGATGGCCTCATTCTGAGGAGAAAAAGAAAAAAGAAAGGTATTTTTCATAAAACAAAATAATATAACAGAAAACAGTTTGTAATTAGCTTATTAGTTACCTATGCAATTGATAAGGATGCGATTAACTTTGTGCGCATTCAAATGGATGCAGGGTTCCTTCAGAAAATTCATGCATCCGGAACCGCTCCAAAAGTTCAAAGGGCCTGCAAACAACATCAGTAAATGTAAGAATTTATGTATTATTGATTGATGTTACAAGATTGTTGTAAGAATTTATGTATTATTGATTGATTCCTTCAGAAAATTCATGCATCCGGAACCGCTCCAAAAGTTCAAAGGGCCTGCAAACAACATCAGTAAAGTATATCACTAATGTTAGAATCACATAGAGGGCAGGTACATGTAACTCCAAGAAGATGAAATGAACAGAGAACATTGTCTGAAATAGAAATTCGGCCTGAGCAATGCACTTGGTCATCGTAACCTGATGCTGGCAAGTGTTATCCACCCCCAGCCCAGTGGCGAAGGTTTGAGTGATGAGAATCAGCCTTTCCACGAAAAGAGGGATTAAGATTACTTAACTACTAATTCTCCCAGACCCTGCCGTAAGTGGAAGCCTCATGCACTAGGTACAACCTTTATTTTTCCAACCCTCAGCAGCACTACTAAGGGAAGACTTAATTATTACAGTCCAAACGCCTTGTTCACAACCCCATGTAAAATGTATACTCCACGAACGATGAGGGTTTGACTTAGTAGTCTACATAACTTGAATTATCCACATGACATGGGAAAAAATCAATAAAACATCCTAAGGAATCTTATCATTTGATAGTGTAGGTCCATTTTGTTGCGTGAATCATTTCTATATTAACTAATTCAAAATCTGTTCTTTGGTAAAAGGGCACTTCCTGTGTTGCTCTGTTAATCAAGGGTAGTGGGAAGGCCCAGAAGGGTAAAACTACAGACAAGGGACAAAATAAAACAGCCAAAACATTTCTATTTTCCAAGAAACTGAAACAAAACATTACTAGGATACCAAAATTTTAATGTTTCCACCAAGACATACTGCCACTCTCCTAAACATACTGAACTTGTGAATTGTATAGATACCTATTAGAAATATCCAACAATGGCCTTTCCTATTTACCTCTTTTTGTCCAAAAAATAAAATAAAATAAAACAAATGACAATGAAGAAAAAAGTTAAATTTAATAGAGAATCTGATAAACTTAGCTTAGCATATGGGCAAAGTGGCAAGGCATGCATATCAAACTAAAGAGGAAGTTTCGTACAGCATTAAGACCAGGCAAAATCCAATTTTGCGATCATGAAATGCGGAACTGAAATAACTCTAAACGATGACTTGTGAGAAGTTAGGGGAAGCTGAGTAGAACATAATTGAACATTAATTAAGATGGTTTTCCATGCCTAACACAGAATGAGCTGCAATATGAATCGTGATAAGGTGCTGCAAGGAAACGGAAAACACTACATAGGATGTGAGTTGAGGTGGTTAAAAAAACACATATTAGCACATCATCTAAGTGTGTAGGATTTGATGTACAGCGCAATTGCAGCCAAATGGTGAAAATAACTTGTGTTGACGAATCTAAACAATTGAAGTTACCGGCCCAGACGAATAGAAATTGATTCACGGATAAGCTGCAAATTATCTAATAAAGATGCAGCACACTTGTAAAAGACATATAGAACTTCCATTAACATCTTATATAGAAGCAGTGACATTTGCAAAATTATATTAATATAAAAATAACATCTCCTCAGTCTGCACAGAATTAAGAACTTCATAAGCTTACAGGATCATTTCACGATTATGGCATAGTCTACGCTGATTGCTCTCCATAGCTTCCAACACATTATTATTCTCTGGTCCTGCAGCTCCAGCAGCCACAATGGAAGGTTCCGAAGCAGTTGGAGTCCAAATCTGGAACAATTGACTGTTATAATTTGATAATTTAACCTCAAAGCTGCATGCAACCAAAATCCCCTTCATCATACTCACCTTTATGGTGTTATCAATTCCACTGGTAGCCACAACACAATCAAACGGATGGCATTGCACACAGTTGACAACTACAGGGAGAAATATATGAGACTATAGACAGCAAAAAAGATTAGTGAATATTAATATATTAAATGGATGGCATTGCACAGAGAAATATACACGATTATAGACAGCAGATAAGAGACTAGTGAATTGGCAAAACATTTTTAAGAAGGGCGAAAAAGAAAATTGCATTACCAGCATCATCACCAACAAGCACCTTTATTAGCCTACCAGTTCTCTTTTCCCATATAAACCATCTGCCATCATCACTCCCACTAGCAACGTATTCACCTACAATAAAATGAGAGCACATGTACAGAGATTGATGACAAAACAACCTTGGTTACCAAAACGAACTTTCATGACATCAGCATGCCAACCAGATTAATGATGATGCTATTGTTGAAAAAAAAACAAACAAACAAACAACAGACTTGTGGATTCCTAACTCCTGATAACTTTATCACCATCAGATCAAAATCCTTGGATGGTTTCACCAACAATTAAGGAAAAGGCCAGGAAAGTAGCTTTAATTGGTGCCATAAACCTTGAAATGCATTGAGTGCAAATGTAAAAATAGTAGATTTAATAAAATTTTGAAACGCAAGCTCATTCTCTTGGCATTTACACAGTCAGGTAAATAGTGCGGTGTGGCAATTGAGCACCACAAAAATACATTTTCTTTATGGGAAACCTACACTGTAAGTGGCCACACAATTCAATTAGTTCAACAGTTATTTCAGTGAATTCTTTATTAACGGCATTCAACTTGCTTCACATATTATAAGAAAGTATAGAAGATAAAATGTCAAAATGAAAAAACATACCTCTTTGGCCAAGAAAACTGGCTTGCTTTATGTCTGTCCCCACATTACAGTGGCCAACATATCTCTGCTTCATATCTATCACCCCCTCAGACTGCAAGTACGAGCACAAGCATAATGTAATTATCATGTAATTAACAAAGAAAAAGATATACACAATGTAATTAAGGAAAAAAGAGATAAGGTTTAAATTTGGAAAACCCAAATAACAATAAATTTTTTCATTACTAGCAAAAATAAAATAAGGTAAGCATTTATATTTAGTGGGTTGTGTCAAAACTAACATAACTGTATATGTAATCTATTTCAAACTTCTATTAGTTTTCCAATTTGTCAAAATGCTTGGGTTGAGATCAAATGTAACATGTATATCACTCTCAACTAAGGTAATTGAGTTTCGGATATTATTTAAAAACAAAGAACTTTCAATTCATTGTTTCTAAAGTACGTAAATAAAATGGCAAGTACACTCACAAGACAGCTCCAATATTTTTACATGGATTCTTCTATTTCCCGCAAAGTACCTGTGTCCACCAGACATGACAAGGGTAAAGGAATGGGATATGTGCCCAACACCCCTACCCAATTTAGACGCTTGGATCTTCTATTTTTTACGATGTTCGAAGAAGAAGAGACTCACATTCACTAGTAAAAAATACTTCTAGCTTCTCACATGGACAAGAGAGAAATTCTATATTTTTCCTAAATTCTATTTAATTTCAAGTGTATTTCTACATAATTTACAATATCTTATTTTAGAATATTGTACAATATGCAATATATATGTGTGCCCATGGTGTGTCCCCGTGCCCATATCAATTTTTGGATACATATCCCAATATCCTAAAATTTAAGTTTACGAAGTTCTAAAGCTTAGACATATCCGCACACCCAATATTTATACTCGAGTCCATGTGTCATAGTATTTCCTTACAAGGAATTCCAGTTCTATGACAACAAAACCCAGAATGCTGAGTGTTGTTTTATTTTGTGAACACCCAAAATTACATATAAATCCTCTACAACCATAAAGATTGAAAAATTCAAATGTCATATCAAAAATTAAAATGAGAAACCAAACCTGATAAGTTGTTCTATCATTTTGAGATGATGACATTGGTGACCCACAGGAACCATTTGCACGACCAGTCTCCATAGCTGTATCGCCTCTTCTATGAATTCTTAAATTCAAACTCCCATGAAGAACATTGGGTTCAACATCACGCCCTTCATCACCAGATATTGATGTTTCAAAATCCAACTCCAATTCCTCATCATAATCAGAGTCTTCTCTTTCAGACCTCGGACCATCTTGTGAAGCATCACTATTAGCCTCTGACCGGTAAAGTATGTCACTCAATGATAATACTTTTCCAGATCGAGGGTCAGACTTAGGCGCTCCATCATTTGCCTTGTTATTCTTTTCAGCTTCAGCTATCAATGCAACCATGCAGATAGGGTTAGGATATTTTCTAAATGAGAGAGAGAGAGAGAGAGAGAGAGAGAGAATTTATTAGAATTACAATGTCCATATCAAGTGATGCAACTTTTCATTGCCCATTAAAGAATTGAAAATTTAAAAAAGGCTAAATTACACTTACCTCACCTGAGGTTTGGAGAAAATACAGTAAGCTCCACAAGTTTAAAATAATTGCAATGGACTCCCTTAAGGTTTTAATTCACATGACACTTAGCCTCCTTTCATCATTAATTCATTGCATCGGGCTCCCTTAAGTTTTGAAGTTTTGATGTCATATGGATAGAAATATGATGTTGTCATCTTTTTAAACTAAAATGTATATTTTAACTTGTTTATATTTGTGTCTTCACACCATCTGCGTTAATTCTAGTCCATTTAGCCTTATTAAAAGGAAAGTTAGCATAATTATACCAAAATTGGGGAGCTTGTTGTATTTTCTCCGAACCTTAGGACTGGTCAATGTAATTTACACACCCAAAAAAAAGGGTTAAAAAAACATTGTTTTAGCAGGTCACAGATAATTAGATTCAAATTTGATATTCCTCATCCATCCCTCCAATTCAGACACCACACCAGTACTTTTCCAATTCAGACACCACACCAGTACTTAACCAGAGCTGATATGTAAACATAGCTACAAACCTGCAGCAAGATGCTTTTGTATGTTCTCCAAAGTTGCTGCAACTTCAGAATCCAATGGTGCCATTGATTGAGCCGAAATAGCAAATTCTAGAGCTTCTTTATATTTTCCCAGCTGCAAGAAAGCAACGAAACACCAATCAGGAACTGAAGTTGATCACGGAAAGCACCAAAAAGCAGGTCAGTTTTAAGTACGGAGGAAGGCTTAGACAGCCACACATTTTCACATACAGTGCCTTCTGAAAAATATGGACCATAAGAAGAGGCCTACATAGGTCTCACGGTCTGGAAAGTGCAACTACAAAGACCATGTTGAGATATTTGTGTGAAACTAAAAATCATGGGAAAGCTCAAAGAAATAAAGCACATAATATCATGCTAGGTTTGAAGTCAATAGGCTCAAAAGAAAATCAAGTAGTTGATCAGTCATCAAACCACATGTAACACAATATATCTAATCTACGTCTTCACCAAGCAAAGGATTGGGAAAGTCCAATTATCATGTAACACCTTGAGTCTGAAAGGAAAATGTTAATTAACTTGATTGCATGACCAATCAACTGTTGGTCAAAAAAATGCCCCATCTGCAAAGCACCTTCATTTTCTTTTTAAAATTTCAAAGTTCTAGCCCATTTAAGGAACCTAAACCTGGATGTAGTGGCTAAAAATACGAACCAAAAAGACAGCTGTAACTAAACAAGGTGTGCCTATGCATAGAATTTGATTGTTACTGCCAGCTCAAGCTCCAACATGAGTGCCCACTGCCTAGGTAGTCAGAAAGTCAATTTGGCAATTATGTTGTGAATCAAGTCAGTTTGTTTCCCAATTGTGGTAATGTTGATGAACCTACCTGCAACAAAGCTTCAGACTGTATGTGAAATGCCCTAAAAGAAGAAGAATTAATCCTCCTAGCTTTGTGGCAATCCCTTAGAGCCATATAAGCATCATTCTTCCACTTCCGCTGAAAAAGATAACAGATTAAACAGATCCAGTACTAAAACACTACCAATGAGCTGAATTTTGAACTCTTGAAAAAAACAGTTTGTACTAAACCTTGAGGAACAAGGCTGCGCGGATGCATAGACACTCATGCATTAGCACAGGTTCAATCTCATGACCATGAGCATCCAAAACCTCATTGCAAGCCTCAATTCCATGAAAATAATTTGTATTATCCATTAAGGATTTTTCTGCAATTTGAACCAATTTTCTGCACTTCTCGTGCTGTAGAAACTGCATTAAACTCCAATTATAGAAAAGTAAACTATAGAAAGCATCAAATTTACTTGAAAAACAAACCCCTATAACAAGACCATAATAACAAGTTTACTAAATGAATAGATCAGGGAAAATATTCACACCATGGCAGAGACATTTCTTTTTAAATGAAAACCATTTTGCAGGGCACCCAAAATTGAAGACTGCAATTCTACTCCATTGAGTGTTGGACTAAAGGTCATAATCTTTGAAGCGTCTGCTGACGTATATTGCATCGAAGTACCACCAGCTGGAAATCATAACACATTACAAGTGATTACAGCAGCTCATACATTCTACTTTTTAGACCTTACAAAAAAGAAAATTTCAGCTGAGCATAAATTGTAATAAGGCGATTCATTGCAGGTGTGTCACAGCCTGTGTCTCGCCACCACCAACCATTTGTGAGTGAGTGGGCGCATGCGTGCACACAAGTTTGAACACATGACAACAAATATTGGTATACTCTATGAAAAGAGAGAGTCATCTAGAAATGTAGCTCATAAAAAGCACAAATTCATACAGAATAGTAGTAATTCTAAGTTCTTTATAACACCAATAGAAAGATGAGGAACAAGAAAACAAAAAATCATCTCGTAAATGTTAAATAACTGATTGCATCAGATGCGAAAGTTTCGTAGTGAAAATACATACCATTAATTATTGAAAAAAAGGAAGGAGGTGGGTTGTGAAAACACATACCATGATTTAAATCCATTAAGTAAACATGTTCTCCACTATAACTAAGGAGAACCTCTTCTCCATTTGGACTAAATGTAACATGAGTCAGGTGCAAGCTAGAATGACCCTGAAAAGAAAAGGAGATGATGTTAGAACAGCTATAATGCTGCTTCCATTCTAAGAAACTCTGTTTTCTTCTTTTCTCCCCATCTCAATTGCATTGATAGTTACTATTCATGGACTAAAAAACAAAAAAGAAACATACCAAAACGCCTTAATACATATATAAATATTCTGATGAACTGGAAGGACCAATAACTTCAATTTCTAACAGCTATAGGGGTTGTTTGGTGCTGCTTATAGTTTTTTATTCTAACAATCTGTACCAAACACAGCTTCTGCTTAAAGCTTAATAGGCAAAAATAGCTTAAATGTGCTGAAAAAAACTGGTTATCTCGAAGCTGGGAGAGGGGCTTCTGCTTTTCAATTATCAGCTTTCATCCATAGTGACTATTTACAAATGAAATAATGGAAAAAAACCTAAACATAGATTTCTTTTACCATAAGGGGAAGTCAAGACATGTATATGTACACTTATGTCTCAATTTAATATAACATAACAATAAGTTAAAAGACGCAAGTTGATGGTATTCAATCACAGTGAAATCCACATGCCAAGGTTCTAGTTTTAAAATTTTCTTTTCCCACTTCTAATTGAGAATGTCAGACAGTTGAACAGGTTTCTACACATTGGCATTGTACATGAGCAAACCATCTTCTTATCTATCAACTTATCTTCAATTAGTGTTACTCTTACCATTTCACGAATGTATTTTTCTGAAGTCATTCCAAAACAACAAAAAGACGTCAAAATATTCAAAAACCTGTACTACCTAACATAGAAACATATAGGATTCAAATATTATGTGAAAACTACACACCTTATTAGATTTCAATCAATAAAATATCCATGTCATCTACTTTTTTGTCCCACGTCGTATAGACTTCACAGATTGTGAGAGAGATTAGCTAGATTCCAACAAAAAAACAACTCCGAAATAAATATACCCAAAAGCCAACTACCCTTAAAGCATATAGTGTGGTATTTATATAATTAAGAAATTGTGACAAAATAAGAAAGATGAACTATAATTAAGAAATTGTGACAAAATAAGAAAGATGGACTATGTAATAGTGCAAATTTTCAACCAACAAAGTCTGTAAATCAAGCATGGGGCCAGTAACAAATGATTTGTAGCATTATAATAGTACAGGAATTGCAGACAAACTTGATCAGAAAGATGCATTGGGCAGAAATAGTTGACACAAGGAGGTGGTGATAACTTCTTCCGACAAGATGAGAGTGGTGGTAGCATCCTTCTATCATATAAACGAGCAAAGGCATCACTGCATGTATTCACAATGAGAAGTCAGCATAAACAGTAAAGGAGAAGTATGCAAGCAACTAAATGCTCCATGAAGAGATACCTCCCACCAACAAGGAGCAAATGAGGCCTAGTGGAACTTATATCACAAGATTTCAGAGCTAGTAGCTGCTTAGGAGGATCAGCTAATGACTTCTTTGCCCCACATCGCAAGTCAAGCTGCCATCAAGTACTAAAAATGTGAGAACAATAATACTGAAGGATGTCAACTATCATGATGAAAGAAAAGAAATTCATGTATCAACAATTTCAATCCAGATCAGAAAAACGATGGAACGTCATTAGAAGAACTTCACAATGAGATGAAAAACTAAAATTTAGCACTCACTAAAACGTTACGACATTCTTGATGAGATGATCTAGCTGGTGGACAAGATGAAGCCTCTCGAAAATCATGCTGCCTCAGAGTCCCATCTTCACTTGCACTCCATACAACATTTGGATTTCCAACTTCCACCTGCAACAGGTATAGAAGTAACAAAAACAATTCCAGGTAAAAGCAAGAATTGAACTTTAATATCAATTGTTCAAGCTCAGTTGTAGCACATTGATAAATCTCCACTAGAATAGGTCACAAAGAGAGTACAATGAGAACATACAGCTAATTTTTTCACTCTCCTACTGTGGCATTGAAACACTGCTGATGGACTAATATCATATTCATCAGGTCCCCTACCCCTTAAACGAGACAGATTAAAAAGCCGAACCTGCAATGAATAAAATAGGATTTAATATGTCCAAAATATTAAAATATTCAACTTCCTGTGAAAACCATGACAATAAAAATGTTCAATTCATCATAACATTACTTCAGCATCTCCAGCACCAGAGACCACTAATTCATCAGAAGTTTCAGGGACAAATTTTGTACAGAATATATTGGCTGAATGCCCAGTCTCAATAGAATGCAAAAGCTTCCGGCTTGAATAGCTATAAATGTTGACCTGCAGCAAAGAAAAACATAAAATAAGATGCATGCATACACACCCCAAGACATATTTTGATACCGTAACTTAAAAAAAAGAAATGATACACTAGGCCAAAGATTCCAGTCAAAAACAAAGACAAATCTTTTTTTTATTATGAGTAAGAACAAAGATAAATACTACTTAAAGACAATCATTAGTGCTTTGAGAAAGTCTCATCAAATTAATTATAAAAGTAAAAGAATTTGCCGAAATTTATGGCAGAGTTTAATTAAAACTCCTGTGTGTGTTAGAGCATTTATCCCTGCAGTTGCTTATTCTCAATCCTAGCAACACTTATCACAAAAAAGTAGAACCACCGTGATTCGAACCAAGAATAAAAGATAAATACAATTCAAAAACGAGCAAAGATGCAAAACTATAATAAAACAACTATATATATACATATATATAATTGCTGGAATATTATCTGAGAGTTTAACTACAATTCCTGAGTGTGTTAGGTCATTATCCCTGGCAATTTACATTCTCAACCTCAGCAGCTTTAGTCACATCAAACCACTATGTTTCCAACTTATGTTTATGTGTATGTGGAGAACATGTTAATGTGAATAAACATTAACAATTTCATAAAAGAACACTAATGCATATTTGGTTCCTCAAGGGTAGGAGGAGAGAGAGAAAGAGAGATTGTCGGAAACTCACACTTAATGATGCTTAACATAAGTACACTCAAAGAGAACTATCACATATGATTTAGCTTGTGTAGAATTGAAAAATGGTTGAACCATCCAAATCAAAATGGTTCTTCATAACGGATTCCCTCCAGCCTTCACACGTTCAAGGGAACGGAGACAAGGAGATCTTCATCTCTGCTTTTTTGTTTTGTGGAATAAGCTGAGTAGGATGTTAGGCAAGGTGGGGCACAGAGGCATGAATTGCAAGTACAGATTCAGGGCAGGCCGCAGGAGGCTAGAAGATTGACAAGATCTCAATTTCTCACCAGGTATTCATTGATGTCACTGTCATTATTCTACGACACCTTCAACAGGTAGTGGAGAGGCTTTAAGGGCAGATAAGAAGAAGCAAAGTGTATATAAGGAAGGCCCATTAACGCTCATTAACAAGACCTTATCAAGCCTCAAAACATGTTTATGTCATTATTTTACCATTCCTAGCTAAAAGTTGCAGAAAGCTCTAAAGCCAAGGGTAACTAGAATATTGACAATAAATATTTTTATTTTTTCAGAGTATCTATTACACTTTGTTATCCTACATTTTATTGAAATGCATTTCCAACTTCTTGTTTCTCAGGTTATTCTTTGTCATAAACACCTCGTACTAACATTTAATTGATACTTCTTTAATAAAAATTCAAATGCATGATATCCTCACAACAATCCACCCATTATCCAGCTCTAATTTTTTTCTGCACACACAAGTATTGCACAATGTGTTAAGTTGATTGCATGGCTTACTACTGAACTCCCACTCCAAGAAAAATAATATGCTGAACAAGATCACCAAACCATTTATAAGGAAGCATCATACTCGTGTATCATCAGATCCAGATATCAGGAGTGAGCCTTTTGAGTTCCAAGCCACAGCATTCACACAACCAGAATGCCCCTGTAAATAAAAAAATTATAGTTCAAATATCAAGACCTAAAAATATATCAATGAGTAATTTCTTAGTAAATTTTGCGCGGAAATCAGCCTTTTAACACATGAGAAATGTTTCCACTGAATACAAGGGAAATGTTGATCGTGCAGTCAGATGACTAGAGGGTTCCTAAAAGATTTTTTTTCTTCTTGAAAGGTCGTATCTTGAACTATGTAATAATGTATCTATAGCCGTATATGTAGATCTAAGGGTCTGTTTGGTAAACATCAAGCTGATGTTGTCCACAAATTTTGAACAACCTATTCAAACAATGAATCCATATATGTTCATGTTCTTATAAACTTGTGTTAATTGCTGAAAGTAACAATAAGTTTCCAGCACTTTTTAGTTCAATTTTTCCACAAATTTCAAATCAATTTTATTTTCTTTCCATGGATTTGGATTTGGATTTGGTAAAAATTATTGCCTTCATTTTAAAAAAATAAAATAAAATTTTATTGCTTAACAGCATAAAATCAGTTGGCATAACAACTAAAAGCATAAAACAACTTAAAGGATTAACAAAAACCACATAATATTAGCCCAAAAATATAAGATGCATCATATCAGATTCAAATTTCAACAACTAAATACATTAAATAAAAGAGTGTTCACAATAAAGCTTTGGGCCCTTTGGGGACCTTATCCATTTACACAAGTTTGGGGAGCCACAAACAGTTGCTTATGGATTAACTTATGAAATGGCAAGGGTAGAAATAACTTAGGGTTAATTAAGTCAAGACAACCTCAACGATTAGTGAAATCAACCCGTACATTTTGCCCTTCTCAACCATAAAAATCGTACAAATATCCCCTTATGGAGGGAGGGGGCATTTTGATAATTGACAGGGTCAAAATGCACAGGTTCATAGATAAGGGAGGTAAGAATATTTGCTAATAGTTGGGAGGTCTTAGTGTAATTAACCCAATAAATTACAAACTTGAGAGAGAGAGAGAGAGAGAGAGGGAGATGGCCCTACTGTTGTTCTAGCTCTGGTGGCATTGACCATAATAATGGATCTCCAAACCAAACACAGCAAATTTGGATTATTGGAATCCCAAAATTAACAAACATAAACTTCTTGACAGCTTCTATTCATCAGTCAACTTGACTGAGTAAACCTCGCATAGTGCTAATAGAAGGTGGAGTAACAGTTATAGAAAACAATATAGTAAGTCAAGGGAATTTGTGTGCTCCTAAATTCTTGTCAGTATTTGCTAGCTAACCCCTCCACTCAATATTTTAAGCTACAAGTTAGTCATTCTTGGGCTCACTTCAAGCAGGGCCTTTTGGAAGCTAACTAATATTTTGAAAGAATCTGATTACCAAGTGAAGAAAAAGGGCAAGCGATGCAGATAATGAAATGAAACAAGGAAAATAAAAAATGACACAACAGAGAAGTAGAAGCACATAAATTAAAATCATTTAGGCTGTGTTTGGTTGGAGGATTTGATGAGGGTAATGTAATGGAAAGGGAAAGGGAAAGGGAAATAGAAAATAAAATTCAAATTCCAAGCTATGTTTGGTTTAGTTGGGAAATAGAGAAAGAAGAAAGGCTAAGTGAACACAAAAGACAAAAAGTAGAATTGTATTTTCCCCTCACTTTCTTTTCTCTTGTGTTTTCCAATATAACCAAACAAAAAGTGGGATTGCAATTTCTTTTCCCCTTTCCATTTTGCTCATCAAATCCAACAACCAACCAAACACAGCCCAAGGAAAAACCAATATATGTATTAAAGTACATGACGAGTCAAACCTCCAATTGTCTTTCCATCGAAAGCCTTTGTATCAACGAAGAGTGCATTTGCAAACTGCGACCAATGTCCTACAATAAGATAATACATTAGTTATTATAGCAAGTAAGCACTCACTCTAATCAATCAAATTACATTCCATCCACGCCTCAAACTACAAACCCGATTATGCTACAAACAACATCAAAAACAACAACAGTGAAACAACTATTGGGCTTATCTTCTTCAACCAATATAATCTCATGCAAAATTCAAAGACAATCTACACACAAGTTTGGATAAACTTAATCAGTAAAGAAAGTTGCAATTTCTCAACCATGTGGATGAAATTTGCAAACACAATGAATCAAACTGGAGAACATGGATTAGAATCATAATCGATGGATATAGAATTCGATTAATTGAATTTCAAGTAATAATCAGTGAAAAGGGACGAGTGAGTGAGTGAGAGAGAAGAGGGTTAGCATACGTGGCGAACATCGAGAGTTCGTTTGTCGATCAAGTCGGTGATGTTACCATCGTGAAAGCAGAGTGACTCCATTGCTGAATGAAGCTTCGAGAAATCACAAGCATACAAACCCTAACTCGATCGATTGAGAGATATATTGATAATCTGATCTCTGTATTCGATCTGTCACACCTAATTTTTTTTTTTTTTTTCTTTCTTTCCTTTTTGTACAGAGAGAGCAGAGAAGAAGAGAGTCGGTTAGCTCAATCCGTAGACGCTTGCCTCTCTCTTCGCACCTCTTTCTCATTATTGAGCTGAGCGCTAGTTGTATATATATTTTTTGTATTTTGTAATTTTAACGCACCCAACACGAAACGTCTCGTGGGCCGCCTGGCCCACTTCTCTTTTCTCTAGACATCTACACATCTGTGTGTGTAAAAGAGGCCCCTTCCCCTGCCCAATACTGGGCCCATAAATCCTAGGGTGGGGGGCTGGGCCGATGTGTTTGGAGTTCGGCCCAACACAAAGGGAAATTGAAAAATATTTCTTTTTTATTTTTTAAATAGGTAAAGTATATTTTATAGTCTTTATTGTTTTGATTTGGACAATGTTACCCTTAAGTTTTAAGTTCAATTTCCATTTTATTTTCATTCAAATTATTGTGAATTTTTTACATGTACTCTTCATTTTATGGATATGTTTTATACAATTGTAAGTTTTAACGTTTAATTTGGATTAATGCACTAATAAAACTAAAGTTAGGACTCATTTTACTACAATTTATAAGCAAGTTTATAAACTATGTCACAACCCTCTAATTACGAGTTAATTACGTAATAGATATAGATCACTACGTTATAAAACTCTCTAGTTAAATGCATAATATTATCGTCTTCTTCTTTTTATTTTTTATTTTTTTTTATTTTTTTTTTAGAGAGATCAAGATTTTAAATATAGTCAAAATGGTTAGTGTAGTTAATGTGTTACTCCCTTACTAGACGAAATATTAGGATTTGTCTTCTTATTACGATATACAGTTTCTCCTTCTCTTATTTTTCTTTTCTCCATTGTTAAAAAAAAAAATGAAAGAACGAAAGAGTAGAAAAGCCAAGAGCATTGTCTGGTGCACCAAATCTATCCAACCACTGCCATTGTCAATGAGTTGATTAATGCTTCAAACTGAATAGATGTGTGAGTAGCAGTAGTTGCTTTGAATTGGTAGAAGGGACTTAAATAAATTAAGTACCCTCTTTTCAGTCTCATCAAAGTTTAATGGATTGAATGGATTTTCATGTTTGTCGTTTGTGTTTCAACAATGTGATTACGCTAGTTAAGCAAGAAAAAAACATATTATTTGAGAAATAAGGTATCGTTTTGTAACAATTACGTTTTCAATTTTCTATTTATATTTACAAAAAATTTAAAAACTCAAATAAAAACATGTTTGGTAAAATTTTTTATTTATAAATCAGTAGTCTCAGTTTATAAATTTGGCCAAAAAATGAAAACACAAAAAATGTGTTTTCATTTTGAGTTTTCAGTTTTTTTTTTTTGGCTGAGGTCTCAGTCTCTACTGCAGGGATAGATACCAGTAAGTTAGATGGATCAGTAGAACACATCAGGGATGGAGGCAATGATGCGCCAGATGCAAGAAAATATGAAACTCATGCAGCAAGATGCTGTCCGCTAAGCTGAATTCGCCAAACAGCAGGCTGCGGTCATGGCCCAATAGGCAGAGCTAATCACCAGATTGCAACAGCAAAACAGAGCATTTGCTTCGTATCAAGCTTCCCCCCCACCAGTAGATCCAATACCCGGGGAGATGCCAAATGTCCAAGAAGGTACGGAAATTCTGACAGGGCCGGCTCCGCCCCCAATCTTACCCCAGCTGTCTAAAGTACCAATTAACCCATCGGACTCTCCCTTTGAGTTCGAGGTAGACCTTACAGCGTTGAAGTTGAGCAAGCTTGAAAAGTTGTTCAAGAAATCCCAAGGGGTAAAGTCCATCCTGGACATTGAGGACGGGTACACCAACGCAGTTGTGACACTGCCGGACAGGTTCAAGATGCCTCACATCGACCGTTTTGACAGAAATGTGTTTCCGTTTTGAGCTTTCAGTTTTTTTTTTTTTTTCCACCCCCAACCCTCCCCCCCCCCCGCCACTATTTTCCACCACTGTCTTCCGCCACCACCACCTACCACCCGCCACCCACCACCCACTACCTGCCACCATCACCCACCACCACCAGCTACCCACTACCCACTGTCACCACTTTCCACCACCGTCTTCTACCGCCACTTGCCACCACTTGCCATTTCTCACTCTTTTTTATATTTTTAAAAATTTTTAAACATTTTGTCAATTACCAAACGCGTTTGTAGTTTATGTTTTTCTAAAAATAAACAAAAACCAGTTTATAAATTTTTTTAAATATAAACTGAAAACATAAACTTTACCAAACACATCACTTATGTTTTTTATTATTATTATTATTATTATGTCGACTTTCAACTAAAGAAAAAATTTACCAAACAAGTTTCGATACATTCACAAGCCCTCAACAAACACTAACTATATTATATATGGGTATTGACAACCAATATGCATCTAACTCTAACCCACCACATTTTGTTATTTCTGCAGGCCACTATTTTTTTGGTTTTGTAGCGTAATGGACCCAAGCTCAGCCCACAAGATGGCTTCTAACCCAACCCACCAAACCCATGCCAACATTGGTTCTCTGAAGAACAGTAGCTTGTTTTATACTGCAAAATGAGAACTGGGAAGTTCAAATGAATGGATCAAAACATGGTCTCCATAGCAGCACTCTTTGTCCTAGTTAATCAACCATCACTAGTCTCCCATGTCAAGCATAGATGCTTATTTCAAAATTCTTACAAGATCTAATAATTCTAAAATCACATTTGATTACCTCCATAGGCAATGGAATTAAATTGATCACACAAAAAACCATGTTTAGCTATGAAAAATGACGTGAGAATTTCTCAAAAGGGTGAGATTCTCTTTAAGAAGCTTGCTAGGTCAAAAAACAATTTTGTTCCCACTTTACCAAAAAACAGCAATTCTATAGTTTATATAATGAGAATTTAAATATAATTTCATACATCTAATCTCAACCAACTAAAGCGAAATAAATATGAACAATGAGAATTTAAATGTAATTTCATACATCTAATCTCAACCAACTATAGCAAAATAAATATGAACAAAACACACGCAATCAATCTTATAATTCCACCCTAATACACATTAGAAATTCTATCCCCCAAATCTACCGTATCCATAAGCCCAATCAACCTACATACCCAAATATTTTAAAACATAAAAATAAAAGAATTCAGGTATACACTTGGCCTAAAAGATGTGTCAATAATCTTTTTTTTCTTTTTTCTTTTCTACGAGTTGAGATTTGATTGTGTGTGGGATTGCAAACAAACCAAGCCGAGCTGAGCTTTGCTAAGCTCGAACTTGACTCGTTTACTTATCGAACTCTTTTATTAAGTTTGAGCTCAAACTTGAGCTCGACTAGATAAGAAATTAAGCTCGAGCTCAACTCAATAAAAAAAAAATTTAATATTATTTATATTATTTAATGAAAAAATATTATTTATATGTTAATATATAAATAATATATTTATACTATTACAAATATTATTTACACCTCGTTTGGCAAGTGACTATTTTAGCTTAAAAGTCAAAAAGTCACTAAAAAAATCAAAAAGCCAACAACTTCTACTAAAAAGTCCAAGATTCTATTTTTTTTTCTACTTTTTACACATCTTTTTGTAAAAAAACCAAAAAAGTCATCATTTGAGATGATCTAAATAAGTGTACTTTTTGACTTTTTATAAAATATGAATTGAGTATGAGTTTGGTTTAAAGTGATGTGTTAGAGAGGTGATGTGACTTAAATAAGATGATATGACTTAAATAAGATAGTGACTTTTTGACTTTTTTAGATCATGCCAAACAAGACCTAATTTTTTTTACCTCATATTTTAACCAAAAAGCTAAAAAATTACTAGAATAACATGTTCTCAAACGAGGCCTTAATATATAAACAATATATTTGTTATATAATTTAAATAAAGATAAACGAACCAAACTCAATGAGCCAAACTTATGCGAACTCAAGCTCGACTCGTTTACTAAACAAGTCTAATATTTGAGTTCAAACTTGACTCGCTTGCTAAAAAAGTTGAGTCGAACCCAGTCCTTAACTAACCGAGCCAAACTTGTTAATGAACAGTTCAATTCATTTGTACCGCTAGCGGTGTGACAACACAAGATGGAAATGTGCCCATCCATGAACGACACACCCCTTCCTGCAAATGAACTTTCCCTCTCTTCTACCAAAAAAAATGCAAAAAATGCGGCCCCACCTCCACACCACACCAACTCCAAATAGAAAGGAATCACACGATATATATAACACATACATACATCGTTGTCTCCTATTATAAATGCGTGCATGCGACGTAACAACACAAACATAAAGACAACACCAACTCCAAACACACACCCCCCCACCCCCCTTCAAAATTACACCCAATCCAACCAACATTCCCATCATCAAATAACAACCCATTCACAACCACTAGAAAAAAAATTGTCATCCAAATCACACATAGATAAACTGATAACAACCACATAAGGATATGAAACAGCAGAGAGCACCACCACCACATAGCCAACGAGAGAGAGTGTGGTTCACTGCAACAACATGATCATGAATTGCTATGAAATAGAGAAGTGACTTCGCTTGTTCAATATCCTGCAAACAGAAAAGAAAATCCCACGAAGGATAGATAGCGTAACAAAAGAACACAAAAGGGTGAGGAAGTGAGACCGGTCCCGATGAAGAGACTTGGATCCCGATGAAGACAACCATTTGTTTGGCATGCACTATCCTTAGTCTATGAAGAAGTCTTTGGATCCACAGAGCCACCCTCACTGGTTGAGGCGGTTTTTTCTGTCTTCTCTCAACCCCAAGACTTCCAACAATTCACTTCGCGGGCATTAAGGTACTAATATTCAAGAAATTTCAAAAACCAGAGCTACTGGTTCCAACTGAAATAGTTGAAGAAAGATTTCGCGTGGGGCTCAAGCTCGCTCGATAACAAACCCCACCCCGCTCAATCACTCCCAACAGTAGTTTATCCAACTTATTCGCAGAGCCCATTTACATCGTTGAACCATAGTAACCACTACTAAGATTTACCATAAACACTGCTACTACTAATACAAGTAAGACATAGCGTTTCAGAGCGAATCAATGCCTAAAGCCTCGGCTTTATGCTTCAAGGATTTCAAGTAACTAATAGCTTCGTCCAGAATCACAATTGCATTCTTGCCCTTCACATTCCCCCCAGGAATTATGCTCTGAATAATGCTCACTGTCTCTCGGATTTTCTCCTTTCTCAACCTCTTGTTCCCTACCAAGGATCCAAATTCTCGTGAACAATGTTTTATCCCATCAGCACAACTAGATTCTGCGTCATCTTCATAACGGACGCATCTTTTGGATTTAACAGAGCTTGTTGCAGTGTCCTTGAGTGATGGCACATCATAACCTCCATCAAACAACTTCATCCTTTTGGCAGGCCCGGCAGAACTATCAACTTCTTCACCTTCCTCGAGCAATTCTTGTTTATTGTAAGCTGTCATTGTACTGGGCGAATGGCCCGTGCTTGCTTCTTCATCATCCTCAGAATAATCATCATTATCAGAGTAGAGCAGTGCATTGATTTCTTCAGTATCTTCATGCATCTCACTTCGCACATCATCTTGGTGATTTTCATTGTACTCATCAGTCAAAATGGGCTCTGGACGCTGAATGTTAACTCTTTCAGCTCCTAGCTGTGTCTTACTCAAATCATACACACTATTGAGTTTAGGAACCCAAGAAGTCATGCATGGGACTGGGGTCCCCATCCTGGAGCCAAAAATCAAGGTTGTTTGATCACCGGATTGATCAAACACAAGGAATCTCTTCTGAGCACAAACAGATGTTGGATCGGGTGTGACCACCTCCTTGCAATTCTCATGGGCACCAGCATGGATTTTCTGTTTCAAAATGGAATTCGACACAGGAGTGAAAGCCTGACGATATCGAGGTAAACAATAGAACCAACCGTGAGGTTCATTTGGTGGGTTCACCTTAGAATGAGGAACCCCAGAAAAGTCGGGCCCGGGCAAAGTCCCATTTGAAGAAACCAAATTAGCACAAGGGCTCATACAAGCAGGGATAGCATTCTGCTGACCCGGGTTGAATGGAGCAATCAAGGTATTCAAATTGGGTGATTGCCGATCCGAAAGCTGGCTATGAAACCAGGATCCAAAGTCCTTTTCCATCCAAACAGAACAACAATTACCTAATATCAACACACAAAGATCCGAAAACAATACACGATCAATCAGAATCATCAGATGCAAAACAAGGTAATAATAATTTGAGTAAAACAACATAATAAACAGATTGAAACATACCAGTATAACAATGTCGGTAGTATTACAACAGATCACTGATTACTTGCTGCTTTTTCTTTCAGGAACAAAGTGAAAAAAACAGAAAACTAAATACTCCAGCTTTACTTGAACACAATCAAATTAATGGCGTGGAAAATAAATCAATCTACGTAACGGGTTTAAGCAAGTGACGAAAATATTCAGCCTGAAAATACCCAAAAACCAGAATCGTATAAGATTTCTACACCCAATAAATTGAATAATAAAACATTTGATTATGCAGATAACAAAAACACTAAATGTTCAAATATTATAGACTGACCTGGCAATCCTGTAGAGGTTGAAAACAAGCAATGACTCTAACTATAATGGTGGCACTCCCAGCAATCCCACTCTCGTGTTTCAATGCCCGAAATCTTGTTTGGCTCGCTGCTTGGCACACCATAACTACAACTTCCCAACCCTTTTTATAATAAAAACAACACCACAATCTTCGGCAAACAAGAATTCAAACAAAACCCAACAAAAATTCAATCCCGATAACAAACAAAGATCGATGGTGGGTCAGAAATGAGAAGAAAATTATAAAGAAAGTTCAGCTAATCCAGCGGATGTAGCAGGGAATGACAACAAACAAATTGGATCCCATGGAAGGTTATGGATATGGATCGAAAGAGAGGATATTAAAGGGTTTTGTGGGTTTGTTTGAAGGGATTACAGGATCACACGACAGTACAAGTTCAAGGAGATAACTTTCCGGCAAACATCAACAGAGAGACAATACCACCGCATGCTGTTCTTTCAGTAATCTGATCGCCACGACTGTTAACCTTTTCCACAACCGATTCAAAGTTCCTGAAGGAGTTATAGAGGCATAAGATACATATATATCGAAGAATGGACAAGAAAAAAAGAAAGAAATCTGAGCATAAATAGTAACCCCGTGTTTGGTTGCTGAGAAAATGGAGGAACAGAGATGCACTGGTTTCGAATCTTATGGTTTCTGTTATTTTCACAGGAGTTGTGTTTTTGCTTAGGTAAAATCAGGGTTCCTGTTATTTTGGAACCAGATAGTGGGGGAAGAAAAAAAAAAAAAAAAAAGAGGTTCTTTTCTTTCTCCTACCTTTTCTCAGGAACCAAACGCGAGAATACAAGTAAATGGGCCATTTGCAGCTAAACAACGCTTTACAAGAACATTTTCCAGGAAAAAACAGAGAAAAAAACAAACAGCAAAAACAAAGCAATGAAGTAAAAAGATCCACACAAAATCAAAGCAGATGGGCCGAAAATAAAGAAATTAACCGAACAATCAAGACAAAAAAAACCAAGAAAAAGTTAAAGAAATTACAGTGAGAGCCGATTCGTGAGGAAGAAAACCCAAATTCCAAATAGCTTATCCTCAAAAACTTCAGATCGAATTCACAACAATACCCAAAAGGCGATTGCAGATATGAAGATAGAGAGAGAGAGAGAGAGAGAGAGAGAGAGAGTAGAGACACAGTCAAAGGATGAGGAATTGCACGGAGGGTGAGACTATATAGAGAGACGAATTGACATGAATGTCCTTTAAGTCCGTGTGGTTGTGGGCTTTTTTATTTTTCGTTTATTTTCTTTTTCATACGTGCGCTACACACGTACGCTTGGAATTAGTATACAATCATGTGTTTTTGTGTGTGTATAAAGGTACGAGGGAGCGTGGATGGCCCTGCTGGTGGTTCTATCATGATTCCACCAGCCCGTGTCCTGTGGGTTTTCACTTGACCCGTCTTGCTGGGTCCGAAGTCCAATCAATCGGGTTAAATAAATTGATAAAATTTTCAATAAATTTTATTTATTAATAAAATTTTTATACTTAAAAATAAATTTATAAAATTTATTAATTCTTATAATATTACTCTTCATATGCAAGTGGATCTTTAATATGACACAAATAAAAATTGTAATATTTACTCTGGACACTGCTATATCATTTTATTTTTTATGCAAGGTCATCTCTAATTATTCATTAAATATTTTATTAAATTTAAATTTGATGAAAAACGCAATAAAATCCAATTTTAACTATTTCATCAAATCGATATCAAATGAAGGGAGAGTTAAATTTTTCATTAAATTAGAAGAGCTTTATCGTTTCATAAAATTTTATAGGTGACCGTTGGGCTAGACGTCTTCCTAAATATCCTTTGAGACAATCAGGCTTTCTTTACTTGAACATCAATTTTCACTCATGAACGGACGTCCGACCAGACATCCTTCTGTACAATCGGACTTATAATAAAGTTTGATGAAAATTTTAAATTTACCATCGACATATATCATATGAAATCAAAATTTTATTAAATTTAATAAAAAATTTGATGAAGCGTTGGCAATACTCTAAGAGCATCTCCAACGGTTGAACAAATTTTTCATCAAATTTGAATAAAAAAAAAGAGTCAATTTTCTCATTCTGATACCAACAGCTCTAACCGTTACTGTAGTGTGCATCAAACAGTGGGTCGACCAGGTGGTCAACCAGGTAGTCGACCGATAAGAGAAAATTTCCAAATTTTGCCTTGCTAAGGTGGTCAACCAAAGGGTCGACCACGTGGTCAACCGGGTGGTTGACCCCATAATGTAAAATTTTCTAACTCAACGGCTATGCACAGTGAATTGGTGAAAGGAGCAAGTCGTCCTCAGTTTGGTGAAACGTTTGATGTTTTCTCAATTTGATACTGTTTTGGTGCAACTGTTGGAGCACAAAAAGTAATTTTTTTCATCAAATTTAAATTTGATGTTGGATTTGATGAACAGTTAGAGAGGCCTAACAATCGTATTTGGCATCAAAAGAAAAGCGAGTGGAAGGGGTTTTTTTTTTTAATCAGAATGATATGAATTCCTAACTAATAATTTTAATTGATAATGAACCCAAAATCATAAATGCGGTGGAGAGATTGAGTTGTAAGATGTCCATTTTGTCCCCCATCCTCTCTGGAATTGGCATCAAAATAAAAGAGAGTAGAAAGTTTTTTTTTGTTTTTTTTTTTTATTTATCAGAATGATTCCTATGGATTCCTAACTAATTTCAATTGATAATTAACTGGTGACATTGGTGATATATGTGCAATTTAAATAATTGATAATAAAAAATTTAATATCATAACATGTATGTTATTTGAGTGATAAGTATATTCTTAATAAAACCCAAAATTTTGGGTTCAAAGCTTACTTACCTTGTTTGTGTATAATAAAAATCAATTTAACTCTTCACCAAACCAATTTAACCCTTCACTTAGGCCTTGTTTGGCATTTGCCTATTTTAGCTTAAAAGTCAAAAAGTTATTAAAAAAATTAAAAGTTTATAACTTATACCAAAAAGTTAAAAATTTTATTTTCTCTTTATTTTTTGCACATCTTTTAATAAAAAATTAAAAAGTCATTCCAAACGTATTAATTTTTTTATTTCATATTTTAATTAAAAAATCAAAAATTACTAAAATATTATGTTTCTAAACGAGACCTTAATAATAGTAAAGATGGAAAATATATAGATGAACCCAAAATCATAAATGCGGTGGAGAGATTCAGCTGTAAGATGTCTATGTTGTCCCCATCCTCTCTGGAATTGTTGTGTGGATGAGAAGGAAGTGTGCTTAGGCCCATCTCAACTCTAAAAAGGGTAAAAATGGCAAAACATTTGTTGTAGATGCAATGTTATGTGTACTTTGTAGGATCCACTCCCATCCAAGTTAAGCCTTCTTTTTTATTTTTTATTTTTCTTATTCCTTTTTTTGGTGATAAACCAAAATTGTATAATTTGCCAATTATTGTATCCTAGTTTCATTTTTTCTTTAAATAAAAAAACATAAAACAAATAGGTATATTTATCGTTGAATTTTTTTTAGTTTTTTTTATCAATTTTTATTTTTCGCAATGATCACTACTGTACCCACCGCAAAACAAATGAGGTGTTTAATTATAACAAATGGAGTGTTTTATTGTAACGGTTGGAGGTTGGAAATAGAGTGGGAGTGGTTGACTATTTAAATGCTGATAATGTGGTATATTTTTACAAATTGATGGTGGATCATTTATATTTGTTAATGTGGTATGAAATGATAAGATGAGGTATTTAATTATTAAATGATGTGGTATGAAATGATGAAATTTTAAAATTTGAAACATATTTTACTTTAACAAATAAGATAAATATGACATCAACGAGTAAGAAAAATTTAAATGTTTTTTCTATATGACATCAACAAGTAAGAAAATTTTATATATGTATATTTAAATTTTATAATATTACTAATTATTACTATAAATTCATTTAATTTATATGAAGGTGAAATTGGCATTTTGATTTAAAATGGTACATTGGCTTCTATGTTAAGCGTGTTTACAATCTATTGAGAGAGGAAGTACATGTTGTCAAATAAAATAAATCAATGCATAATTTTTGAAATCAAAGAAAAAAAAAATCAATGTAATTGTTAAAAATTCAAAAGATACAATATAATTAATCATATTTCGTGTCTTGCTAGGTGCATCCTTCAGCCATTAAAAATATTATATTTAGCTATTTTTTTATTCAATGTGATGTTTAAATTTAAATTTTACCGTAATGTAACATAATTTCTCTAATTAAATTATATTTATATCAATTGTAAAAATAATTATATTGAAGATTTTTTTTTATTCAAATATATATTTTGATGATGGTAGATGGGTATCCTAAGTTGGGCATGAAGATCAATTATTTGGAGATTGACCGTTCAAACAAGGAATCATGTAAAACGCAAGGGTGAGGCCCACAAACCAGCTGTGTTGATAGGGTTGGTTCTTCACACGAATTAGGATCGTGTCCTTGACTTCCCTTTTTAATTTTTTATTTACTGGGCTATTGGAAACACTTTTTAGTCTAATTTTAATGATTCGAATTAATTCACATTTTAAAATTTATTAAGTATATTATATCTATAAAAAATCAAGTTAATTGGATATCAAAAAATATGTGTTCGGAAAATTGTTTATTAAATTTTTTTTAAAAATGATTTTTAGTTCGATGATCTAAACACATACTTTTTAATATCGGATCTACTTAATTTTTTTACATATAGAATATACTCAATAACTCTTAAAATGCGAACGGCTTAGATCATCGAAATTAAGCCTAGAAAGTAGGCCCAATAACCCAACAAATAAAAAATCAAGAAGAAAAATGAATGAGAGAATCCTGATTCTCTTCACCCTCCTTCCTACCTGACACTGTTTGTGTTTGTGTATGTGTATAAGCAGTTGAGTTATAGGGGTGTATTAAGAAAATAATTAAAAGTTGATTTTTTAAATTTTTAAATTTTTTTTATTATTTTATGTGAGAAATGATATGATCTAAAATAAGTTAAAAATTAATTTTTAACTTTTAACTCATATTTCCAAATGGCCCCCATATCTATCCATCAGTAACCTACTTTAAGATATAAGAGAAGTTATTTGGTGATCTTTCAATATGATATCTTAAAAATATTATAATTGGTGTAAAAAATGAGACTCATAACTTCATATTATATGATAAAAAATAAAAAAAAGACATGAAATCTTACAATAATGGATAAGAACACTGTCACCTAATATTTCAACACGATTTAATAATTTTTCTTAGAATTGGGGTTGAAAAGCCCTTAGCCACCACTGGGCCACTCCTCCCAAAGAGTACAATAATACTTTCCATTGATGTGATTTATGGCCATGCCTTAACCTTCAAGAGGAAAATGAATTTGTTCACTTATTTTTAAAATATATAAATAATACATAAATTTTAATTGACATAAAATAATTATCTTGTTTTCTTTTGATTGATTTTTTAATAGTTAAATTTTTATTTTTCATATTTTTTGTTTTTAGTAACTTTTTTAAATAATTTAAGTTAATTTTTTTACTTTTTATATGCACATAACTTAAATGTACTTAAAAAATAAATATTCGCGAAAAAATATTTTAAAAATTTAATAAATATATAAGAATACAAAAATGTATTGAATTTTTATATTTTTTATATTTTTGTATTTGATGAATTTTTTAAAAAAATAATCTATACATATTATACTTTTTAAGCGTATCTAGGATTTGTGAATTAAAAAATAAAAATATATTAAAATATTAATTTTTTTGAATAAAAAGAAATAAAAAAAACAAAACATTCAATTTTCTAAAATGTGTGATCAATTTTCTGAAACTAAACAAAGTGAATAAGAGTCATATTCGAAAATGTATTGAATCTACTTAAAAATATAAATTATATTATTTTTCACAAATCAAAAAAATGTGTACGGTTTACACATTTTTTTTTTATATTGTATTTGATTTATAAATTTGGGTAAGAAAATTAGAGAGAGAATAGAAAAATATAGGTGAAATGTGATAAAATATAGTTACATTTCACACATTTTTTTTTGGCCTTTCTAAATTTTTAAATCAAATCTATAATCCAAACAAAGTGTAGGTATGTAAACAAAAATAGACTCGGCAATGGAG